ATAAAGGAAAAAGTACTCACTCTCCAGTTGACGAGAAGGGCTAAGTATGTCTCTGCCCGAAATCATACCGCTCCAACAGAAAATGAAATCAGCTGATGCGGTACCGAGCAGACGCAGGCAAACAAGGAAGGCAAAATGTTGCGTAAAAAATCTAGGTATTGCATCCAGTCCAATCGATTTGGGAGAATAAATGGTCCAATGAGCATACCGTTCACCATGCCAGCCCAAACATTCACCGAAAATGTTTGTTGAAAATGTGCCCGACGGACAGCGTGCGGATTTTCTACTGACCAAACATGAGTGTTGCGAAAGTTATTCACCCCATTACGCGTGAACGTAGATTCGTCTGTCACCAATATGCACTTCAAAAAGTCCGGATTATTGTCATGTTGATGCAACAACCACTCACAAAACCGTACTCTTGCTGGAAAATCGTCAGATTGAAGGGCTTGTACACGTTGGACGTGAGACGGATACAGCCCCTCTTCACGCAGCGTTTGCCACACTTTAGTTTTTGATACTTGCACTTCTCTAGCCACGTCTCTAGTGCTTGTTGAGGGATTCTCGTCTACGCGATTACCTCTACACGCGTGACCGTAACGGTCGGTTGAAGGTTGCATACTGACCTGACACACTGACCCCGACCCAGTTCTGTCGTCGGGTTGAGCCAGTGACCTTGTACCGGGTCGCGGCTACATGACGGTATTCAGATATTTTTGATGTTGCAGAGCCCTTTATCTCGGTTCCCTTAAGACATTGGTGTATATGGTACTAAGAAAAATTGCTTATGTTTTCAAGATCTACACGTCGTGTAAAGGAAAACCCCAACATTGCGGACACCCTCTATATAGCTGTGTACGAACATTGTTTTGCTGAATTTTAAAGTGCAAAAAAAGTTGTGTGAATCTGTTGTGTTATCAATTTTTAATTATTGCAATCTAGTTTATATTTAGATATTATTATTATTATTATTATTATTATGATAATTGAGATGAGCAGAGTACACAGTACTATAAGCTCATGCAGTAAATATAGTGTACGGACATGTAACACAAATACATCAAATAGAAAAAAATAAAAAAAGACAGTTCATAGCTATAAAGTTTGTACACTCCTCCAACTATCATACTGCACTTTTTTACTGCTAACTGAAGTAGCACCAACCACACCTTCAGGTAAACTATTCCAGGTGTTGAATATGCGGTTGGGAAGAAACCACTGTCGGACTGTTGTTTTAAATGGCTCCTTATGCAGTTTAAAGCTGTGTCCGCGTAGATTGCTGCGCGACAGACGGTATAGATGCATGAGGTTGGTGCCCATCAAACCATGAAGTATCCTGAACGTAACTATAAGATCGCCACGAAGTCTTCGCTCAGAGAATGAGGTCAGGTTGAATAATTCAAGGCGATCTTCATAGCTTGGTCTTCGTGCTCCAAAAGGGATACGAGTAGCCCGACGCTGTACTGATTCGACGAGATTTCTATCGCGCAGAAACACAGTGTCCCATACCGGGCCAGCGAATTCAAGAATTGGCCTCACGAATGCCTTGTAAATGTAGGCGCAAGTGTTGACATCGGATCCTTTGAAAGACCTCTCCAGCATGTATAGAAGTTTCTTGGCTTTTGATGTAACGTGGTGAATATGCTCTGACCAGGAAAGACGATCGTTGACTACAATGCCCAGATCAATGTGGCTGGAAGCTGCTTCGATGTTGTGGTCAGAGATCTTGTATGTAAATCGCGGATTTGTCTTCCCGAGGTGAAGGGCACAACACTTAGTTAGATTTAAGGGTCAACTGACTGACCATTGACAAACAATATCAAGATCTCGTTGAAGCATAGCAGAATTTACGACAGTATTGTAAATCTTGGTGTCGTCGGCATAAGCTGAACATGTGGAGGAAATCAATGCGGGCAGGTTACTTGTATACAGAAGGAACAGCACTGGCCCCAAGACAGAGCCTTGAGGAACTCCACTTGCTACATGATGGAGGTGAGACTGGCTATCACTGACGCGCACAGAGAAAGTCCTCCCGGTGACAAAAGCCTTAATGCACAGTAACAAATCGCCTCTTATTCCCATACATTCCAACTTAAACAGAAGCTTTCTATGTGGTACGCGATCGAAAGCCCTAGAAAAATCTAAGTAGATTATATCAACAGGAGTCTTTGTGTCCAGATACTGAGTCCAATCGTTGAGAGAGTGGAGAAGGTTGGTCATTATTGATCGACCAGGGAGAAATCCATGTTGATTCTTAGGGATAAGGTCATTTTCGAAAGCAAATGACAGGAGCTTATCTAATATGATTCTTTCAGCTATTTTGGCGACGATAGGAACGAGACTTATTGGTCGATAATTTTTAGCGGAGGATTTGTCGCCCTTTTTGAATACAGGGGTAACATAAGCACTAAGCCAGCATGAGGGTAGGGTATGAGATCTAAAAGACGATGTGAATATCAAGCTTAATGATAGGGCCAGTGCTGAAGCGCAGTTTTTAAGTATATTTATATATTTATTACTTATAACTGTGTATGTTACATATTTAGCTTAAGAAAATTTGTCCATGCCAACTATCAACAACATTTTTCTGACCTTTGCTCAAGTTTTTTTGTTATCAGACCCCGGTACATTCATAGGAAAAAGTGAAATCGTTTAGAATAGGTACATCTTTTAGAAGCAATATATTGATATTCTGTCGAAATAAAATGTTTGAGATTACCCCAAGCCACGTATACAAAATTAAACCTAAGAATAAGCTTACTCCCCCTTAGCTAGACATGTTGTGTGTTGTAACTTCTATGCCACTAATTGAGGATAGAACATGGAAAAAGTAATTAAAATAATACGCAGCATGCACAAAAAGTTTATATTATACATCCACTAGTTATTAAATTCGAACACAGAGCAGAGAATTACTTTTTGGTTTGCTTTGGGTACAATAAAATATATATTAGGCTGGAGCAGTGCTCTTTGTCAGCTTTGAAAACAAATATAGTGGTATTATTTCAAAAAAAAGTATTTCGACGGAATATCAGTTTCAAAAAAGTATACTAGTATTCCGGCTGTTTTCCCTTTTTTCTACCAACGAGAAGTGACAGGACTTTAAAGCTATATTTTCTACAATGCATACATTTTCGGCAAAATAATGTGTTTTCTTTTTGTTTAAAGATGTGACTGATGGACGTCAGCGAGAGTTCTGCGGTGTTTCCTCCGAGAATCACACTACTCATTTTCTATCAGTGTTCCGAATATAGTTCCCGAAAGACGTTGAAAAATCAGATTCTAGTGACTAATCCCTTTCGGTAGGAAATGTAAATTACTTGATAAAGTTTTCTTTCGATGCATTTTATTCCAACACACGAAAAAAGAAACTGCATCATCCTTGAAACAAGATGTAAGCGACATTTATTTAGCCAACTTGAGTTCAGACACAAATATGACGAAGATCAAACATGAATTTTTTATAATCATGATGTCAGTTGTGAATGATCTTCTGGAACTGCTAACAGTTTATTTTCTGATAGTAACATATTTCATATTGAGTATATTTTTCAATGCGATTAACAATAGTTACCATGTCAATATTGGTGTCAATACAAGCCTAGCTCCATATTATGTACGACGTAGCGTGATTTAGCGGAACGTGATTCTGCACATATTATATCCATGCTTATTACAGTTCGCAAGTTCAAACGGTCTAATGATAAACTGCCAAATATCAGCCTGTTAATAAGTTAGGCTATTAACTGCAATTCATTATCAGTATATTGCGATTCGATTCGATTTACATCAAAAATAAAATAATTACTGTTTGCATTCTGAATGATGATCTACTCAAAAATGAGTAGTCTGTACTGTGCAGTCATTAGATTATATTCCATGTCAGCGCTAGCGCTCTCCTATTGTGAGGCCATGTTTCCTTTTTGAATTGTAGGAAGTTTCACGCTGATGTAACAGGTAATATATAAGAAAAGCATGAACAATTTATAGATATTTGTAACATAACCTCAAATAGAGCGCTGACACGGAACAGTAGAAAACTATGAAAATCAAAGAGGCCATAAGGGCGTCCAACAATTGTAGGAAGAAGTGACGATACGGCCATAAAGGAAACGAGAACAAAAAACCTAAATCTAAATATGGAGTTTTTATCAAGATTCGCGCTATATAAAGCAAGGTTGAAACGATGATTCGGAATTGATACAGGGCTCAATACATAATTCAGTTAATTTTTACGACACCTATTGCGAACCTGGAACTTCCAACGTACGAGGCGTCATCCTTATACACCCTATTTTTCACGAGTATCCTTCACGAGACAATGCCAGCTAGTTATCCAGTAATATTTCAAAATATCCCATATCGGCACAGGACACATAATTAATTCCGAGGGTTCGGTCCAGGTAGACAGACACGTATTTTCTTGTGGTTCTTTGTACGCTCCAAAGGCGTGTTATTGAAAATTTCCAGCCATTCATTATAAATCTGGTTGGGTGTGATGAGAATAGTGCAGATAGTTGTTTTAGTGACTAGCGTAGTGGGAATGCGCTTAATCTGTGTACCAGCTCCACAATTACTTGGAATGACTGTGAAAGGATACGTCTCTAAACGCCCTGTAAAAAGGGTTTTGACAACATTGTCACATTTGCGAGCTATAAGTTTTCTGAGATTTGTTGGCGAGAAAAAGTTTTTAAAAGATGGAAGTTGATCCAGGAGGATCAACAGACGACGCAGTTCCACATACTATGAGGAAAGAGCTGAGCGGTGGCGGAAACCAAGCAGAAGCAGAAAACATGAGCTCACTGACGCAGATGTCATCGGAGCAGAAAACGATCGAAAAACTGATGCTGATTATAGACGACCAGGCGAGGCAGATTCGAGACCTAATAGAGACCATCAAGGACCAGACAGCCAAAATTGACAGCCTTACCGCCTAAGTCCGAGGACGACTACCGTAAGATCGTTCGCCTATTCCGAGAGGAAGAAGTGCCCCATCACACTTTTCCTCTCCCTTCGGAACGGAACATCCATGCGGTGGTTCGAGGAGTTTCCGTCAACTTTTCGGATACTGAGATTAAGGGAGAACTGGAGCAGAGGGGATATAGCCCTCTTCACATCATTCGATTGAAGCGCAGCGGCGGCGCGCCCATGCCTTTGGTGGTCGTGATACTGCCCCAGACTGAAAAGTCTCAGCAAGTGTTCAACGAACACGAACTGCTGGGACTGGCCATTCGAGTTGAGGTTCAGAAGAACTCCAGACTCATTGGGCAGTGTCACCGCTGCCAAAAGTATGGGCATGCGCAGTCATATTGCACTGCACCGCCCAAATGCTTAAAATGTGCAAAGGACCACATGACGCATTTGTGCCCCCTCACAGAAGAGGAAGAACGCAATTGCGCGAACTGTGGAGAGGGACATCTCGCAAATAGCCGGACTTGTAAGTTCACTCCAAGGAGGAACTTGCAAGTTATAGCGCAAAGGCGCAATATATCATACGCGGACGCAGCTCGGGAGGCAACCTTGCCTGCCCCCTCTGCCCAACCTCCCTTGAGCACGCAAAGTGTGGACCTGGCAACCGCGCTAAGGTCCTTACAACAAATAATAAGCCCACTGATTAGCGCTACCCAAGCGTTGCAGGCGATATTTCCTGTAAATGTCTAGGTACAATAGTAGACAGCCTGCATTCATCAAAATTCTTTTTTGGAATTGTTTGGGCATGAGGGATATTCCCAAAAAAACGGGAATTTCATCAAGCTCTTTTGGATGAAGGTATAGATGTGGCCTTGCTACAGGAAACGTTGCTTAATCCGGGAGATCGTTTAGCTCTCCCGAATTATGATGTTATCCGAGGTGACAGATTGAATGGTCGAGGCGGCGGTTTAGCAGTGTTGATTAAACGCGGTATAGACTATTATAGAAGCACTAATGCGGAGATGCATAGCATCGAAGCAGCCTCTGTGGTGGTCAATATGGCGGGAGGTGTCTCGTTGAAGATCACATCGGTGTATGTCAGGTGTGGTGCCAGGCTACAAGAGGCGGATCTGGAGGTCCTTTTGGACTACTCGGGTCCGCTTATTGCGGCAGGGGACTTCAACTGCAAACATCGAGCATGGAATTCTAGGTTGAATTCCACTAGTGGGGTTCGATTGTACAACCATGTGATGCGAAATGGGTACCTTATACATAGCACTGAAGAGCCGACACATCATCCATTCAACCATCTTCAGGCACCAGATGTCATCGATTTCGCGATATCTAAAAACTGTAGATACAGTATCTCTTCTCGAATCTTGTATGATATCTCTAGTGACCATCTACCTGTTGTCTTGGATGTGGGCAATGAGCAAACTTCTGAGGAGGCAGCTCCTCCAAGAAAACGCATTGATTGGGACCTATACAAGTTGCTCCTTAGAGAGTTTCGCAATATCCCGATTATAGATGATGAGTCTGGAATAGATGCCGCTCAAGCGGAATGGACAAGTTTCATTCAAGCAGCTCTACAGCGTGCAGCTGTATTTCCTGTACAACGACACGGCAGACCTTTTTTGCCTGCGGACATTCGTCAGAAAATCTCTGACAAAAGAGCTGCTATTAAGCAGGCAAAAAGGTCTTGTCATCCTGATGACATTCGTAGGGCTACAAATCTTGTCCGTGAAGTGAGAAACGCACTGCACGAACTCCGCAACGAGAAAGCGAGAACAACTCCCACACATCCACGGTCCTGAAGGCATAGTCTTCAGAACGGAGGATAAGGTCGAGGTTTTCGCTGATGCCATGGAAAAAACAGTTCTCTCCCAACTATGATCTCGATAATGACCTCGACGAGGAACAGCACATCGTACGATCCGTCAGGACATATTTTAGGGCCAACGGCGTTAGCGGAGGCACTGAATCCTCTTCAGATGACTCTTGTTCAGAAGATTCGTCTGAGGCTCCACATAGCACATTAGCGGAACCCTCCGAGTTTCCACATTGCACACCAGCGGAGTTACTAAGTCATATTAAAGACCTCAAGGTGCGTAAAGCACCTGGGGAGGATCAAATCAGCTGCTCTCGCCGAAAGCCCTGACATACTTGGTGACAATAATCAATGCGACGCTCAAAATCCAGTACTTCCCTGCTGGGTGGAAGACTGCTGAGGTCATCATGATTCCAAAGAAGGTGGGTTCGATATTTCCTCAGGATTACCGTCCCATAAGTCTGCTGTCAGCTCCTTCTAAGCTCGCCGAAAAAGTGATTTATCGTCACCTTGGGAATTTTTCGTCAAATCACCATGTGATTCCTGACGTCCAATTCGGTTTTCGGTCCGAGCATAGCACCGAGCTACAGGCAGTCAGGCTGATGGAGCATGTAACCAGAGGGTTCACCCTTAGCAAGAGTACTGGCATCTTGCTTTTGGATGTCTCAAAAGCCTTTGACAAGGTGTGGCACGCGGGCCTCCTCTATAAACTAATCCAAAAGGGTTTTCCTTTTTGGCTTCTAAAATTACTAAAATCTTTTCTTGAAGGAAGGAAGTTTCGGATCAAAATTAACAATGTTTTGTCAACAACACGGCGAGTACGGGCCGGTGTTCCTCAGGGTTCGGTCCTAGGACCAATTCTTTATTCGCTTTTCATCCATGATGTCCCTTCCCCCAGCAACTGTGAAGTCTACCTCTATGCTGACGACACTGCACTTGTCGCCCAGTCGTGTACTGGTGATCTGGTTCACGATGGGTTGCAGAATGCGGTGGACGAAGTTCTAGAGTAAACTAAGCATATCTGTTTTTATTTGTTCTTCTCCTTTTTTCTTCTCTTTCCCTTTCTCTTTTTCCTTGACTTTGTCTGGTTTCTGGGCAACCAGGACTGATAGATTCGACTAACGTACATCAGACAGTGACTAATGGGCAAAGGTCTTACGGACCGCCCAGACAAATAAATGACGAATAGTATAGGATACGTCTCTGTAACTATTTACTTTGCAGATTGTTGTAATGTGCACTTTTACATCACTGTGTTATTTTAAACAAGCTGTATTCTTTATTAATTTTTATTATAAGTTCTGAACATACTTAATCTGTATCTGTGTATTTTTACAGGTAAATTTACAGTTTCTGGAAAGGACTACGCAACCTGTTCTATTGACATGCCACGTAATCAATAAATCCCAGATGTACTACAATAATGTTCTAATAAACATTTCTATATCTGTACTTGTTACATTACATTACATTTTATTGTCACATTTCTCACCCACTGTACAATATAATCCTAATATGTGAACACCAGCTCTGAATACGATCCCGAAATTCATTATTGCCAACGTTACAAATTAACACAAAAATGTCGCTTTTGTAATCAGCTGTTCACCTCAGAGCGTGATCGATACTCGTGAAATAAGGTGCACAAAGTTTCACATAGTGTAAAGGCCTCAAAACTGGTGCCACGAGTTGCTACTCTAATTTTCATGAAACGGTGATCCATGGCATCTGGACACTTGATTAAAGCAGAAACAATTTGCAAAATATTCATCAGCAATTAATGAACATTCATCTGTTTGTAATAAATTAATAGAATTTTCAAAACTGTACTGCCCTAAAACATTATTGACAATAGCTGTAGCTTTGGTGCGAAATTTTTAGCAATCTCAGAATCGTCAAATGATATTGTTATTTAAAGATATTTTTTCCATATGTTATATCAGTTAAAGTTTTTTGTGTGTGTAATGATTTTACCAATTTGGTGTGTTATTTTCCTGAAGAATGTTTCTGGATTTCGGATTTGCCAAATAAAATCTTTATCGCATGCCTTGCAGAATGCATAATTGGACCCTTTGTTGCTGCTCCTCAGCCAACCTTCAAATTCAGGTTCTTGTTCCCATGCAGCAGTATATTTCTGAGTATAGGACTTTATGATTTTTTTTTTCATATCTGTCCAGCTTCTTCAGAATTTGTAATTATGAAGAAACAATAACACACAAATTTAGAAGTCTGGTTTACAATACATAGATCATAGATATACATATTATATTATGTATGTCTAAGATATCAATATTTCATTAATTTATAGAAATATTCTTTCATTAACTTTAATACTAGATAATTAATTTCTGAGTAAACTCTGGAGGACCTCCCCGATGAAGTATAATAATTGGAAAAGTAAATATTTTATAATAAATAAATAGGTACTTACCTGTGGCAAATAAGTTCAATGTCGAAAAACTTTAATGGTTATTCGTTAATAATTTTAGAGTACAAACTAAAAACAATAGTTATTCTAAGGCACAGTTAGCACAGGGCACAATCCGTACAATTGCATATAAACAGCAAGAAATGCAACAGAAACCACCCGGCAGTTTATATATTATATTATAGCCCAGGTATTTCCCCGTATGTAAAATACCGTTCTGGTATTCACCGACGAGAAATTACCGACAGGGAATCACCGACGGGGAACCAGAGCGTTTCGTTTAGTAATTCCCCGAATGTTATGAGTTATGATTTCCGATACAATTTGGTGTTCGTGCATTTTAATATATTTTGAATCATATTTTATAGGTACAATCAGAAGGTATTTTAAAAGTAATATACTTGTCTCTTAGTTTATTCTCTATCTCTCGTTTATTTTTTGTTCCTGCTGCTTAAAATTGTCTTACAGAATTTATAATTCCCTAGATTTTGTAAAAATTTAAATAAATTTCCCTTTTTCCCTAAGCTTGCTCGTAATTCCCTAGATATAGGGAAATTCCCCTAGGTCTGGTAACACTGCAAAATCGCTCAACTATGATCATCGATGTCGAAACCTTTCCTTGGAATGTACGAGATGCGGTGTTGCCAAGCGAACCAGTAATGCAATGTTGCAGGATCTGTGGTAATCCTGACCTTCCACTCCGACCTAAAATGGAGCGCCCTTAGGACCGATCCGGAATCGATAAAATTATTAATAATTAAAAAATGTGTACGCTCAAGATAAAATAATTATTTGGGCGTAGTATTTTCAACATGCATCTCAATTCCAGGAACATATTGGCAACGCGGTGATGAGCTTCGCGATCCAGCCGGCTCCTATCTCTTTCTAACATATTCATGTGTCTATACACACTTCTCTCTCGTTCACATTGAATTCAAGCCGTCAGACAAATTTGGTTCTCAGTGTATAACGTACTATAATTTACAGCCAACAAATATAAGGTATTCATTTGAGCACAGATTACCTTCGCTTATTTTTCTATACCAAAGCAGCGGCGCAGGCAAAAGCCCAAATACTACTGCTACGAATGTTCCACAATATCGAATACCTTAGAGACAAAGGATTGGTCGT